TACGTTATCTGATAAATATACTACTTATATTCCTATTATTTATTCTTTTTTTCAGAGTTCTAGAATAATTATATTAAGCCTCAAAAATTATGACTCAAAAAATCTATTAATGATGCATCTCATGCAAAACCCACATTTAAATTTGAACTATTCTTTCTCTAGAAATAATGAGGTAATCTGTTTTAGTAAGAAAAAAATAACATCTAATTTATACCAGAAAAATATATCCCATAACCACTCTGCACCATAAATCTGGGGGAGCTGCTTCAATCATTCACTCTTGGTAAGGTCAATAAACACCTGGGTTTCGGAAGAGAGCTACATCCCATGGACTTGACTGGTCCCTTTTTAACAGTTTCCAATAAATTTAAGTTTTTGTTTTAAAATTACCATTGGAAAATTCACTTGCCTTTCCTCAACTCTTTTTTTAAAACAATTTTTCCACTTTTCATTATTTTACCAAGTGTTTTGAACTTGGGTTGAAACCAAAGAATTCTTCAGCTGATGATCTATATCATAAAATATAAGACATGGAAAGTAAATGGAACTACAGGTCCAGCAATGAACATGAATAAAGCCGCGGAGAGGGGCACACTGGGGTTCTGAACAGTGTGCACTACGATAGAAACTCCTATGACTTCAGTTAGCTGAAGAATGCCTAAAGTATTTGAAGAAAAATAGAGCAGTCAGAAAAAACATATATGTTATGAGGTTGTTACTTTGGTGCGTCAACTGGCTAGAATATAATACCAGTTGTTTGTCCAAACACCAGTCTAAATGTTATTATGAAGGTATTTTAAGATGTGATTAACACCTAAATCAGTAGATTTAGAGTAAAAAAGATCAACTTCCATAATGTGTTTGGGCCTCATCCAATGAGTTGAAAACCTTAAAAGACTGAGACCAACCTGGCTGGAGATCCTGGCTAGAACCTGGCTAGGCTGCTGATGGACTGAGATGACCAGAGGAAGAAAGAATTTTGCCTCTACACTCAAGGCTACATCAGCTCTTCTCTGGGTCTCCAGCATGGCAAACCACCTGCAGACTTCCGACTTGCCAGCCCCAACAATCACGAGCTATTCCTTAACATCTCTCTCTCTTTCGCTTCCCACCTGTGCACAAATCTCCTATTGATTCTAATTTTCTGAAGAACCCAAATGCATATTCTGAGAGACAATTTTTGTTAAGGTGTTAAAGAAATGAGGCAGTACCTCAGTTGGTTTTACCTGATGATCCTGGAGACAGGGCAGAGGGACCTGGAGAGGGATTCATGGTACTTGTAGGCTGTGGGGGTAGGTGGCTGCCTGAGATGTATCTACTTAGTAGATTATCTAAACTACTTGAACCAGCATCTTCCAACTAAAGAGAAAAACAAAAAAGATAAATTTGCTTTGATTAAACAGAGATGTTATTCATTTAATTAACATAACCACTTACGCTCAGTTTCCTAATAAATAGATTAGCCTACATCTAAGTCGGCTTAACTATTGCTTCCTTAGGCTCCCTGAGGCTCCACACAGTATAAAGTTGATGTAAATAAAGCCATAATAATATGCAACAAACACCTGGCAGGTCAGGACAGACCCAGCGATCCACTAAGCTCTTTATGTTCTGCTATGAAAACAGGACTGACACACTGACATGGCTGCCTTTACTCAAAACTCATGCAGGACCCTGTTTTCCAACATCCTTGTCCCGTCTTCCTCCCTTTATTTCAACAAACATAGCTCCCCCAAAACCACTCACCTAAATAGAAATTTAATGTCAATACCTCACTTTAAAGCTCTCAATTGTCTATACTCAACAGAAAGCCCTTAGCCTGAGATACAAGGTCCCTCATTACACACACAAAGAGGGGCAGCCAACAGGCTGTAGATTCAAGATAGAGGCCTTGGCACTGACTTTGGCCTGATTTCCAATTGGAACATCAATTTCCTATCTTTAAAATATTTATCTATAGTGAGAACTGTGATGATGAAATGAGAAAATATATATGTAAGAAATAGCAAACATATACTATTTAATTGTGAAAATTACCATAAGTAAAAGTTTATAGTATTCCATATAAGAGATCACCAAATTATTCTTAAATAATTGCTACCCTTCTTGCTCGTCTGTTTGTATCCACACTTGTCCCTTTTAATCTCTCCTGCTAGAGGCAAGATCACTTTTTGAAAACTGAACACATACATTTATTACTTGCTGTCCTTTCCTCTCAAAAACCACACTGTTTTCATGAATATAAAACAGAAAAACGTGGCATTGAGGCAGAAACTGTGAAAGAAACTATACATCCAAGAACCAAGGTAGAATTGGACTGACAGAAAGCTAATCAGAATAAAGCAGCTCAAAACATATCAGAGGCAAGGGAGGACTCTTCTAAAAGCAAACAGATTCAACACCCATTAGTGAAAAAAACTACCAACCAAGTGGGTATAGAGAAAACATACCTCTCATAATAAAGGACATAAATCATAAGTCCAGAGCTACATCATACTTAACAGTGAAAAGCTGGAAGCTTTCCCTGTAAGATCAGGAAAAAGACAAGGATGACCACTCTTGCCACTTTTATTCAACACAGTATTGGAAGTCCTAGCAAGAGCAATTAAGAAAGAAAAAGAAAGAAAAGGCATCTAATTTGGATAGGAAGAAGTAAAACTGTCATTATTTGCAGATGACATGATATTATATAGAAAACCTAAAGATTCTACCAAATATCCAAAATGGCCCTTGCATTTATTTTCTGCTTTGTTACATAGTTAATGCTACCCCATCTGCTTCCTGTATAGCTTCCCATGTTTCCTTTTACTATACCATGGAAACTACAGGATAGGAGAAAAAGTGGTTCTTCCAGAGATAATACGTTGTTTCCCTTTCTATTTTTGGTTCATATAGTTAACTATGTCTTACTGTGGCTGGGCTTTTGTGTAACACCTCTAATTCCTTTTAAACACAAGTGACAATAACAAGTATTGGCAAGAATGTGGAGAAACTGAAATCCTCACACACTGCTGCTGAGAATGTAAAATGGTGCAGCTACGTGAAAACCAGTTTGGAGAGTGGCTGCTAATGGGTACAGAGTTTCTTTCGGGGCAGTGGTCGGTAAACTGCGGCTCGTGAGCCACATGCGGCTCTTTGGCCCCTTGAGTGTGGCTCTTCCACAAAATACCGACTTCTGCACATGGGCCACAAAGTTTCAATCGCACTGTACGTGCACGCCCGCATGTGGTATTTTGTGGAAGAGCCACACTCAAAAGGCCAAAGAGCCACATGTGGCTCACGAGCCACAGTTTGCCGACCACTATTTTGGGGTAATGAAATGTTCTGAAATTATGTGGTGATAGTAGCACACTCTTGTAAATACACTAACAACCAATGAACTGTACATTTTTAAAAGTGGGGTTTTATGGTATGTGAATTATATCTCAATTTTTAAAAGTAAATAACTTTAATAAGAGAAGGTATATCAGAGAAAATATGGATTCTATTCTCTGCCCACTTTAAAAAATTAAACACTGGAGGGCACACATTCCAGAGCTTTTTGTCTTGACCTCATAGCTCTTCTGGGCAAGATGACAAGGAAAGTATATGTGCCTTCTTCCCTTATGATGCCCAACTTTTCAAAGATGTGGGACATACACACTTCCACCAAAATACCACATGGGCGAGCATGTACAGTGCGATTAAAACTTCGTGGCCCATGCGCAGAAGTTGGTATTTTGTGGAAGAGCCATACTCAAGGGGCCAAAGAGCCGCATGTGGCTCGCGAGCCGCAGTTTGCCGACCACTAAACTAGACCAAGGTCAGAGTGACCCTAGCAAATTATGATAAGTGTGACATTAGCAACCTTCCTTCTCCTTTTGAAAGTTTCTTTAAGAATTGGAATCAAGTCCTGTCTATCTTTTCACTAGAGGCCCAGTGCAAGAAATTCGTGCATGGGTAGGGTCCCTAGGCCTGGCAGCGATCAGGGCTGATCAAGTTCCCCGCCTCCCCACCTCCTCCTTCCCTTGCTCCCTCAGTGCCCCACCACTGCCGCTAGTCACCCGCCATGTTCCACGCCCCCCCCTGGTGGTCAGAGTACGTCATAGCAAGCGATCAAACTCCCACTCTCCCAATTGAACTCCCAAGGAGACACTTTGCATATTAGCCTTTTATATATAGATAGATGATCATTAATGCCCAGGACTTCAGCATACATAGTGCTTAGTAAAATGACTCCTTAAACATGTACACACCTCTCTCTGGTTGCCCAAAGCCTCTGAAAACTAACAGCTTTCCAGGCCTCCAATCCCAAACTATCTCCCTGCAATCTCTACAAATATTAGGGAGAGAACTGGACTTGTAATCAGGAATCTAGATTTTGAACTACAACTTTCCCAACACATTTACTGGGTGACTCTGAGAAAGTCACTATCCTCTTAGTTTCATCCATAAAGTAGATATATTACATCTATATATATAAAATCCTAAGCAACCGGTCAACCAGTTGATCGTTGGACCAGTTGCTATGACATGCACTGACCACCAGGGGGCAGACGCTCAATGCAGGAGCTGTCTCCTGGTGGTGAGTGCCTCCCACAGTGGAAGCGTCACTCAGCTGACTGAAGGGCACCAGACATCCCCCAAGGGGTCCCAGATTGCAAGAGAGAATGCAGGCCAGGCTGAGGTACCCCGGGCCTCTAATATCATATAAAATGATTTCAAGCATTAAACTAATATCTGTTAAAGTTCTTTGTAAATTATAAGCTTATAACTCAGCAATTTTATTTTTTACAGATATAGTACAAAAATTTCCATATAGCCCAGTACTCTTAGTGCCAACACAACTACAATTTGCTTAGCCAAAAAAGATCTCTCCTAACATCAGGAAAGCAATCAGGTTAAAATAATTTACAATGAATTCATGATTTTTAAATAATATTGGAGTTATATTGAGGATTGCTAGTTTTAACACAATGTAACTTTTAAAAATTCAAATATATTCTAAATTTAAAATGCCTCAACTTAAAAACAACAACCAGAAAAATATACTCAAAATCCCTAATTAAGACAAGGTTTTAAATCTTTCATTAAACTTAAATACAAACCTGTATGGGTGGAATATCTGGTAGCGATGGAAGGTTTTCTGGGTTGGTAACTGAGGGGATTAACTCTATTGCTGTAACAGATGGGCTGGTGGGACCTCGATTTGCACTTGCCATAGTAGCTGTAGTAGGGCTGGTTGGATTGATTGTGGTGTTGTGCACTGACACAACAGGAAAGGGTCCAGCATGCCCTGGGTTTGAGTGCTGTTAGGAAAGAAGATGCTATCATTATTTAATCAGCAGTGATACCCTAATATGAATAAACCTCGACAACAATTTTTAATTTAAGTTAGATGGTACAAGGGTCTGATAACTATGGTTGAGAAACAAAAAAGTAAGCCCTCTCAAACTTATACAGGAAATAAATAATAATTTAACTCAGCCTTTTCATTTTTCTATTTTTTTTTTGTTGTATTTAGGAAAAGCCAAACTTGACAATAATTTTCAACCCGTCAGCCTGATGACATGATCTTATTCAGAACAAAGATGCATGTAAACAGATGATCTGGAAGCCCCCAAGTTTTCAAACAGCATTTCCTGAAAGCCACTGTTTTGTCTACATTCCTCTGTGACTCTTTTTTTTAAAAAATAAAAGGAATTAATTGTGTATTGTATAATTTATATGTAAATAATGTCTCTACAAACAGAAATATGACATCAATTCCTGACTCTAACACATGTGACATAATCTGTTATTTAGAAATGTGAATAATGATGAACAAAAATGAACATATCTGTCTCATTGTAAGGCTGTTATGAGGATCGTTTAAGATCATGTAGATGAAAAGCTTTGGAAAATAAATTTCTATACACATATAAATCATTTAAAACATTAAAAAATGTAAAATTCTAAACTTCGGGGATACTGTAGGGACCCTAAAGCATAGAGCACTGTTCTTAGGTGGCTGGTGAGTGTGATTCTGTAGCTCCTGCCCTCTTCCAAAGGGTGTACCTGGCCCCCCAGTAATACCTGAAGGCTTTCCATGTATTAAGGGGTGAACACTTCACCCTAACCGGTTTGACTCAGTGGATAGAGCATCAGCCTGCAGACTCAAGGGTCCCAGGTTCGATTCCGGTCAAGGGCATGTACCTTGGTTACGGGCACATCCCCAGTAGGAGATGTGCAGGAGGCAGCTGGTCGATGTTTCTCTCTCATCGATGTTTCTAACTCTCTATCCCTCTCCCTTCCTCTCTGTAGAAAATCAATAAAATATATTTTTTAAAAGAAGGGGGGGGGGTGAACACTTCTAGGGCAATTAATGCTCAGAGCTTCAATCATATGTACTTTTTTCTAAAGAAAACCCAATTTACCTAAGAATGTGCTGTGGTCTACAAGTTCTTTTTTCATTATTTCGCAACTACCCTTCCCCACAAAAACACAGCAAACCTCTGACCCATTCCTAATCTTATCTAGCACATTGCCCCAAGGTAAAAACAAGCAGGAGAGACAAGTAAAGGTGCAATAAAGCTGTCACACTGTTGATCAAGTGCTTGACCAAAACCTGTGTAACAAATTTTAAGTGGGTTCTGTTATTTGATGAGCAACAAAAATTAAGGAAGACCTGAAAAGCCATCAATTGATAAGATATTTTAAAGTTTTGACAGCTCATTGTGAGATACATTCAGCTTTGATAACCTAGAAAATGTTCAAAGAATTGAAATTCTTATATTTCCCAGACACAATTTTTTGTGAACATGTCTCCTGAGCATCACATGAAAACAAAAAAAAAGCTAGTAATAAAAACTGGTGTTGAATTCTGACTTACTCTAACAATAACAAACACATATAACTGAAAAGACTCTATTTTTCTCAAAAAGAAATGTAGATCTAAAAGAATTTTACTCTTTATGTTTTCTAATATTCTTAAAGCATGTAAATAAATATGCTGCTTAAAAAACTGAATAGGAATAATTGTAATACAAATTTGGTCCAAAGAAGAAGTTTCAGTTTAATAATAGCCTTACTATGGCTGGAAATTTAACAATTTTTATTTTATAATAAACATTTTTTCCTGCAGAATAACTGCAAAGACTGATTGATTTATAACTTTATCTAACATAAATATACATATTTTTACAAAATGCTACAGAGAAAGTAGAAGAGATATTCAAGTCCCAGCGTAAAATTTTGACTTTCAAAAAGGAGCTTGCTGTGGTATTTGGGATGCCAGTGGATTCATTTACTGGAATAAAATGTAAGAGTTTTACTTCATAATGTCAATATTTACAATATGCCAGAAATTATGTCCTTTGGAACTATTTAAACTTAAACTTATAATGTAACTTTTAAATGTCAATCTTTAAATGTGAGAGAGCACTAATTCTTCAAAAGTGGAAGGACAGTACGTTAACTTTGGTGTGCAGACTGGTGTGAGTCAGTAAGCGTTCACACATTTCTGAGTAGCCGCTCCTAGAAATTCTGACTCAGTGGGTATGGCTCAGAACCTGTTTCTGATGAGGCCTCCCAATCATTCTGATGGTCTTAAGAAATCTTTAAAAGAGCACTAGCCGGTTTAGCTCAGTGGATAGAGTGTCGGCCTTTGGACTGAAGGGTCCCGTGTTCGATTCCAGTCGAGGGTACATGCCTGGTTGCAGGCTCGAACCACAGTAGGGGGTGTTGATCAATGATTTTTCTCTCATCATTGATGTCTCTCTCTCTCTCTCTCTCTCTCTCTCTCTCTCTCTCTCTCTCTCCCCCTCCCTCTTACTTCCTCTCTGAAATCAATAAAAAATATATATTTTTAAATGTTTTTTTAAAAAAACCTTTAAAAGAAACATCACTCCAACTATTATAAAATAAACTGCATTCTTTCATAACTAGAAATCCTGTATCAAAGTAGTTTCATTTTAAAATCATGCCTCCTATACAAAGGTAACCTACTATTCAGACAAAGAGTAAAAAACATGTCCCTAAATACATTTATTTTTAAGGATGGGTATATCTACATCCCAAAAAGAACAATACTAAGTAGAGAGAAGCAAGAAAGTAAAAATAAATTTTTAAAAATGCATTGTTTTGTTCTCAAAACAAACTGTATTCGGCTCAAAATGTCACATTAAAAGAGCAGAGGAACAATTTCTGGAAACTATGGTTCTAATCTTGTTTTACCGTTATCTCTTGTGACTTTGGGTAAATAACAAGCTCCTTTATTATTTAGATCTACAGAATGAACTGGCTGGACTAGATCAGGGATCCTCACCCCATAGTAAATAGAGGGATTAATGGCATCAAAGTTGTTAAAATTGAATACAAAATTTTATGTCTTAATTCTTAAAGGTATCAATGACTCTCCCCCCACCAACTGATAAGAAAAATGATGTCTTTTAGTTTTAAAATTGTATGACTCTTACAAATGTAACTCTAGGCATACTTGTCTTTGGAGGTGTGGCTGCATCATGGAGTACTGAGGGCCGCTGTGCCTGGGTATCCCTGGTATTCGGGCAGCGTTCTGGGCCAATCTCATCTGATGGGCTTGGAAAGCTCCACAGTTCATGTTGTTTCTTTGCATTGTTTGCACACTGATCAGTCTTGGAGGCTACAAAGGGTAGAAATTGCATTTCTATAATAATAGTTTTTATAGATTTCTTTTCAATCATTAAATGTTATATAAAAAGACTTGTCAGGATACAGAAGGACATAAAGTAAAAGTGTAAGTCATTCTCCTCATCTCTAGCTCCAAGCCCCTTCTCTCAGTCTGTGTGTGTGTTTAAAGCATTAACTTATCCAACCCTACATTAACAGCTCTGATTTGGATGGGGGAGGAGAGAACAAGGGAGGTACAGGGATGGGAATGATTTGAACAAATGCCTAAAGAATTTATCAGGTCCAGCCAGCGTGGCTCAGTGGTAGAGTGTAGAACTATGAACCAGGAGGTCACAGTTCGATTCCCAGGCAGGGCACATGGTCCAGGCTGTGGGCTCGATCCCCAGTGTGGAGCGTGCAGGAGACAGCCGATCAATGATTCTCTCTCATCATTGACATTTCTATCTCTCTCTCTCCCTCTCCCTTCTTCTCTGAAATCAATAAAAATATATTTTTTTTAAAAAATGAATATATCAGTATTGGGCAAAAATAATCTGGCTCTTTGGCCTAAAATCACATGTATGTGTAAAACAAAAAAGATCTAGTTTGGAGGAATAAAAACTTGTGTACTGGTGAGTTAATTTTGTTTCCCATGGTAAGTCTTTACTTACTGCCCTTCCTCACACTTCCCAACATCCCTGCGATCCCCAGAACAAATATTTAAACTCTGACCGTCCAGTTTTCTCCATGCTAGTCACGTGAAATGTGTAACTCATTTATGGAGGACAGAATGTAGCCCTGAGGGCTTCACAATTTGTACCAATAATGCAGTGATACGGCGCTCACCTGTTGTTGTAACATCTGAGGAGCTGCTTGTCGTGGGTGCTGTTGTGTTGTTGTTGTCGTTGTTGATACAGGAGCAGGTGGTTGCTGTATCCTCATCTGTTGCAACTGCTGATGCTTCTGTGCATACACTTGTTGTTGCATGTGTTGGAGTCGAAGCTGTGCTAAGTTAATCTGCCCAGGAGTTTTACTAATGTGGTTCGTCCCTGGAGGAACTTGCCCAACTACAACATTAGGAGTATACCCAGGAGCTGGTTTACTCTCTATTACTAGATTACCTGGAGAATTTAAAAAATGAGAATAATTTGCATATAATCAAATAAATCTACTTTGTAGATTAATCAATATCTTTTCCTTTTCTCTGACAACCCTCAGCACTCAAAGCTTCCAACAGTATAGCAGGGATGGGAGCTAGGTTTAAAGATGATCAAGATCAGAAACCTAGTATAGTCCAAAGACAAATAATCGGCTTTTGATTGCTCAGATATATTACCTGCCCTTATGCTTTATTTACGTAGATTTACAGAAAATTTAAGAGTTGAAAGAGATGTTATTAGAGGAAGCCCATCTAGTCAGTCTAAATCAGCAGTTGCCAACCGGTGGTGCACGGACCACTGGTGGTCCGTGAGGTCCGAAAGGTTGGCGACCGCTGGTCTAAATCAATTCTCCTTTGACAAGATTCAAGGATACTCAAGATTACTATTGCTGATTCCACCTGCTTTTGAATTGCCAAAATGTGCAGGGCAGAGTATTGCATTGCTACAAAACTGTCTTCTGTGGAAATACTGAATGTTTTAAACCACTTACGTCCTTAGAAATGACACTTTTCCTGATTTCTCATATCAATATCCCTGTACCTCTCTTGCTCTTCCCTCCTCCATCCAAATCAGAGCCCACTGCTTTCTAAAAACAGCAGGCAAGTTTTAGGAAGGTTTGACCTAAGGTAGAGTTGGCAAACCTTTCCTATAACAAGCCAGATATTTTAGGCTTCATAAGAACTGTCATATGTTCTTCGTTTTTTATCTATTTGCTTTTACAACTCTTTAAAATGTAAAAAACAAATTTAGCTACCATGCCACACAAAAACAGTTTGCTGATGCCTGATCTAAGGCTTTAGCCAAATCTGAATATACACAAAGACTACTTTTTCATAGAAGACTGTCCACTTCTACTTTGATAGCTTCTGTACACAGTTCTAATAGTTGGAAAAGTTTTTGGGATTTTGCCTTGTTTTAAACTGAGCTATTAGTCTGTCGCTCTGTAACTTTCACCTATGGTCCTTAGGTCCACACTGTGAAGTAACAAAAGCAAAGTCCATTTCTCTTCCATGTGAAAAGAGCTACTTTTATCTTTCAAACATTCCTCAGGACACAACTTTCAGACACATCAGCATCCTGGACATCCTCCTCCAGAGGACGACTCGGTTCAATTAATATACAAACTACTAAGCATCTAACAAATTCTTCCAGAGAATGAAGACCCATTTGCTAAGTTTCAATGAAAGAGTCAATGCCAATTTAATAGATGTCAGGAAATATTAAAAATGATACACATTTTAAAAAACTATACAGGAGACTCTCAACATTCTTAAAGATATAATGAACATATAGTTTAGGTGAGTTTCCAATGAAAAACATATTTTCTAAAGTGAAGTTAAAAAACTTTCAATATATAAAATTTGCTTTAGATACTTCCTCCTCCTAATTCAGTGTTCTAAGTTATATTCATAAAACTAATTATTTCTCACCTAAATTGACTACATTCTTTGCCCAGAAGGTGGGATCACAATGAAAACGTATTGCTCCATTAGCAGCAGGGACGGGATCACAACGAGCTTTCAAAATATGGCGCAACTGAAAAGTAATCTTAAAGGGAAAAAAATGCACATTAGTCTTAAAATTAAATATCACTTAAAAAAACAAAAGATAAAGACATAAAAGCTCATGTAGCCCCACAGTGTCAGTCTCAAATGAAACAATATCAGTGTGTCAAAGACTACCTATATTAGCAATCAAATGCACATGCGTGCATTTCTGCCATTTCTGATGATAAAATGCATACTATACTAGGTATCTTCAAAACAGAATACTGTATGATTCCACTTATATGAAATTCTAGAAAAGACAAAAATCAGACTAATAGTTGCCTAGGGCCTGGGGTAAAGGGGAACAAGGAAACCTGACTGGGTGGTGGAGATTTTCTGTATCTTAATGTGGTGGTGAATACATTTGCCAAAATTCAAAATCTACACTTTAAACAGGTGCCGTTCCCAAATGCGTAACAAAGTCAACCTACAGAAAAATAAAGACAGTATGTGCCTCACCAGCCGCTTGCTGTACAGGAGGGCTGTGCTGCTGCCACTTGCAATTGCCCAGTTTGTAAAGTTCATCACATGCTTCACCTGCCGCGAGAGGCCTGTGATGTCATTCTGCTGCTGTATTAACTTCATCTGTCTTTCTTTTGTAACAGTCTGAAACAGAACAAGAGGGTCGCCCAAGAATTCTACATGAAAAAAATCAAGTCATTATTTCTATTGAAAATGAACACAATACTGCCTGGCCAGTGTGGCTCAGTGACTGAGTGTCGACCTATGAACCAGGAGGTCATGTTTAGATTCCCGGTCAGGGCACATGCCCAGTTGCAGGCTTGATCCCCAGTAGGGTGCGTGCAGGAGGCAGCTGATCAATGATTCTTTCACACCACTGATGTTTCTATCTCTCTCTCCCTCTTCTTCTCTGAAATCAATAAAAATTAAAAATTAAAGAAAATGAGCACAATGCCTACATATATATTTTTTAACATATAAGTTAACAAGTTCCTCATTATTTAATGAGCCTATGATCAAAAGAAAAGTTACTCACAAACGTGGGACTAAAACTTCGTTCTCTAGAGAAACTGTTACTTATATCTCTTTTTTCCTTCAAAAGATGAAATGTTTTTGTTATAGTGTCTTTCCATCAGGCTAATCCAGAGATTTTCAACCAGTGTGCCACAGCAAGCACACTGGTGTGCCACAAGAATTTTTAGAACATGCAATACCTGACCTCTTTTCCCTTAGAATGTCAAATAAAACATGAAACAGCCAACACAACAATAGCCATCCAATGTGCATGAATCAAAAGTATACCTTTTGGTGGGCGCGGGAGAGGGAGAGGGGGGGAGGGAAGGTGAGATCATCAAAAAATATTTTTTTATGTGCCGAAGAATTTTAGTTATTACTTTATCTGTGCTGTAAGATGAAAAAGGTTGAAAATCACTGGGCTAATACATTATACGAAGTATATAGCCTAATGAGTTGACTTTTAGAAATAATGTTATATAATCTTAACCCACTACACTTTCAGGCAGAAGAAAACTTTCTGTTACCAGTGCCACCTACTGGTGTGGCATGAAGCTAATGTTCAAATCTCTTCTCTTAAATGCTCAGACAAAATGAGAGAGATAAATTCCACAAGCTCTAAGAGTAGAGATTAGGGAAAGTTTTGATCTGACAAAAAATCATAAAGAACAAGTGAGTAAGTGAGGGTTGAAGGAAAGACTAATTTGGAGAAAATGCTTCAAAGGAAAAAAATAAACTGAATTTTTGGGAAGTAAAACTCCCAGAAAGGATAGGTGATGTCCTATGTCCTTTGACATTCAGCACAGCAAACAACCTATCTACTTCACTCTTAACCACTTTTTCTTTTTCTTTTGTTCAAAAATGACTCAACTTGATTTATTAGACAATTTTTTTCTCTAAGAAAACAAGTTGCCCATTTTATAATATAAAATCAATGAATAACAATATTCAACTGACAGAAGTTTGACAACTTCCCTGGAAATCATCCCTCTTATAAAACTTAGGAAAAACTCTATTTTACAAATTTAGAAACATATTACACTAGAAAACATCTATTGTTTAAATTATCAGCACATTAGGAGAGTGTATCACATTTAACATTAGGTATTTATGTATACTTTAGCATTAAAAGGCATCTTTTAATACTAAAGTTCTTGAAATGGTTTAAAAACATTATTTTAGACCTATCGTTAAAATGTATTTACAGTAAGTTAAAAGATATAAAAAATCATTACATGCCCACTGCTCTCTCTGTTCCCATGGTCCTTTTGAAAATAAAAATCTATCAGGGTTAAGTGTAACTGGCTGGATGTGTATCAGGAAAGAGACCATAAACTCTAACAATATGCGTTAGAGAACTTTTAATATCACAATGTGTCTCAATAGAAGGATGAAATTCAGAAATAAAACTACACTGACATCATTTCTTTCACTTGTATGTAATTATGTGTCTAATATTTCTAAGTGCTCTACGAGAAACATAACAGAAAAACATCTACTATGGAAAATTTGAGGTTAATAGTAATGAAGTTAATACTTATGAAGTAATCAAAAAATACTCCTGTAGCCGAAACCGGTTTGGCTCAGTGGATAGAGAGTCGGCCTGCGGACTGGGGGGTCCCAGGTTCGATTCCGGTCAAGGGCATGTACCGTGGTTGTGGGCACATCCCCGGTGGGGGGTGTGCAGGAGGCAGCTGATCGATGTTTCTAACTCTCTATCTCTCTCCCTTCCTCTCTGTAAAAAATCAATAAAATATATTTAAAAAAAAAAAAAATACTCCTGTAAGCCCTGGCTGGTGTGGGTCAGCGGTTAGAGCAGCGGTTCTCAACCTTCCTAATGCCGCGACCCTTTAATACAGTTCCTCATGTTGTGGTGAACCCCAACCATAGGACTGCAGTTTCGATTCCTAATGAAGGCACATACCTGGGTTGCAGGTTCGACCACTGCCCCCCTGTAGAGGTATGTGCAGGAGGCAACCAATTGATGTGTCTCTCACATCAATGTTCGCGTGCGCGCGCTTCTCTATCTCTTTCTCTCTCTCCTCTCCCTCCCTTCCACTCTCTTTAGAAATCATTGGAAAAAAATATATGTTCAACAGTGCAGAAAATATAACCCCATATCATGTAAGCCTACTGAAGAGCACAAAATTTTGAGAACCAATCAACTATAGTCAGTAAAGATGATGAATCTTTGATTAAAACTTAATTTGGGTCTCACAAATTGATTGAATTCGCATCTAGAAATTTATATCTACATATTAATCTCAAATATGTAAAACAAAGACCTAATATAACAAAACTATCAGAAAGTTTAAAGTGTACAAATTTCACCCAGCCGGTGTGGCTCAATGGTTAATTGTCCACCCATAAACCAAGGGGTCACGGGTTGGATTCCCAGTCAGGGAACATGCCCAGGTTGTGTGCTCAGTCCCCAGTGGGGGTGTGCGGGAGGCAGAAAATTGATGTTTCTCTTTCACCGATGTTTTTATATCTCTATCCCTTTCCCTTGCTTTCTCTCTAAAAAAAAATCAGTAAAAATCTATTTTACAAATTTCAAAATGAGCAGCACTTTTTGCAAAACTATGGAATTTTTTTTTAAATTAAGTGAAACATGCAAATGACTCAAGCAGACTCCCAATATACATTCATATATGTATGTAAAAGTTAAATTGAGAATTTGGGAGGTGGGGGTGGGGGGGGGGTAGGTGGCACAATGTGATGGGTTAGCTTTGTCTTCAGTTACATCACATTTTAATAGTAATTCTTTAATTCCTAAGAGGACAATACTAATTTATACAGCTAAAATCAGTGTTATTAAATTGTGGTGCAAAGTAACTACCTCAAAAAAAGGTCTATTTATCAATAGAACATTTTAAAAAAAAAATTTTTTTTAGTTGACTTCCATATTCCCCCCCAACCAATCTAAAAGACTTTTCAATAAACATTAAAAAACAGCTAAAGATAAATAGAAGCAGTTTTTGTTTGATTTTGGCTTTGAACCGTACCTCTAGCTGCTGTAAGAGAGATTTTCCTTTCTTATTAATTTCATTGATAAGGGTGAAAATGGCCACTTTTATTTCCTGTTCTACTCGTTTGTTAGTCTCATTTACTTCTTTTATCCTGAATAAGAGAAATGCATCATTAGGTTATCAATTTATCTCTAAATCATCAACTTACAGAAATTCAACTGGGCACTTAACCGAGCAATTAAAATTAAACCTTTGCCAAAATGTATTACTTATGTTTCAGCAGACCTGATCACTCATTTTGGTCCAAGCAAGTTATGTATATGGACTAAGAATGGATTAAATATTCAGTCATTTTAAATTAAATTCATAAAGGCCAGTTTATTAATCTAGATGGTAATCTCCATTAGTTCCCATGACATGAATGTGATATACAAATATCTGACATCAATGATTGCTGGTATCAAATCTGGCACACTGGTTCTATTTAATCTTAATGCTTTTGAAGAACAATGTGCAAAAAAACAATGTTGCAACCAATAATTAAGTTATCAAATAATAGGAATTAAGCTTAGAATCATTAATTTTCATTTCTAACTTAACCATTTCAAATATAGGTTGTAGTATGCCTCTTTCACAAATCTTCTCAAAATGGTTTCTTATTGTATATAGTTAAAGGCATAAAACATTTTCAATCCATTCTTTTAAAATAGCTGTTAGATGTTCTAGAAATGGGTATAAGCTCCCACTGTGGTTAGAAAAGTTTTGGTTGCATATTTTATTTACAAAATAAATAGGGGAAAATCCCACCAATATGAATAAATAAAATATTAAACAACCATAAGGAAGCCTTCAAACTCATTCTACTTCTGTACAAACTATAACCCACACTTTCAACTCCTGAATTGATCTTTATTTGCCAAATTCAAATCTGAGGACTTTAATACACTTAATCATAATAACATAGTTTTCTCTCTTTTGTCTGTATATCAGGGCTTGTGTGGGCACTTATTTAAAAATTTTATTCAATTCTGTCCTTAAAGTCATTTTTTTAAAATGGGAGTACTGATTACTAATGATAAGACATATGGGACTCAAACTTACAATGATTTTGGCCAAAGATTGAAATCATTAAGCAAGCTGAAAGTAGAGAGCAGTTAGCCATACTCAGACTCTCATTGGATTTAAGCATGTCTACTATATGTTCAATTGTGAAGGAAGAAAAATAGAGAAAGGGCATCAAAAAATATGTCTCGGAGAAGCATCATTAATACCTTTGTTTAAAAGTTTTCTGCAGATGAAATCATCAATCTCCCCAACCCTTTACAATCTTATAAAACAAACCTCTTGCTCTATTTCGCTACATAAATTCAGAAACATATATACAAAATATGTATAAAACATATAGACAAAAATATCAGACTGCCATGTGAATCAACTCATGTCCCTTCTCTAAAAAGGACATCTATCTGTAATTTATAAGACAGTTATCATCTCCAATATCACCCACAACATATCAACATACCCAAAACACCCTGACATATCCATAAGAACCATCCATCCATGATTAGTGTGTCTGTATATTTACATATACACTGAGTGGCCAGATTATTATGACCACCCCATCAGTACTTCATTGACACTTCCAAAAATACTGAATATTGAAAACTTCCTAAGCAAATATTCTCAAGTTTTTATTATTATTATTATTTGCATAATACAAATATGTATCCATAATACAAAGATGTATCCTAATTCACTTCATTGTACTGATAGGGTCGTCATAATAATCTGGCCGGTCATAATAATCTGGCCACTCAGTGGATGTGCAACTTAAGATGAAAATTCTACCACCTTACTGTCCAATATATAATTTTCTACTTTCTAACATATAATGTACCATTCATTCATTCATCTATTTAATATTTTTTAGTATCTACTAGGTGCCATCTTAAATAATCATAAATGAATTTTAATATTTCAGAAGTACCTAAAAGTTCTAGTATTTGTGAATCTGAATAATGAGCATCTATCAACCCTATTCATAAACCCAGAAATATACAAGTTTTAATTATGCCAGCTCAAAGTGCTAGTCTTCCTACATTAAGGGCCCTCATTTTGTTAATCTATTCACTTATCAATAAATTTGGTTTACTTAGAAATGAACCAAAATAGGATTTTTTAAATACTAATGGTGTTATTGATAAAAATAATAGCAACAATAAAAATTTGAGAGTTTACTATGTGCTATATATTCATCTTATAATAATACTTTAAGAGAAGTACTGTTTTTAATGCTTGTTTTACAGATGAGAAAATAAATTTGTCCACCCTCTTCATATTCTCTCTCCTGTGTCGTCCATTGTCTCTAGTTAAATTCTATAATGCAGCCTTGGCCAGGTGGCTCAGTTGTTTGAAGCACTGTCCCTACACCAAAGGCTGCAGGTTTGATTCGCGGTCAGAGCACATACATAGGTGTGGGTTTGTCCCCCAGTCGGGGTGCATACAGAAGGCAACCAATTAATGATTCTCTCTCACATCGATGTTTCTCTCTCTTTAAAAATCAATAAAAACATATCCTCAGGTGAGGATTGTATTTTTTAATTTATAATTCAATTCCTTATGTATTAATTGCATTTTTCACATTTAATTAAGGTTTACAAAGACTAGAGTCTTATTAATTATAAAACAATCAAAGATGTATCCTAAAAGATTATTCAAAAATTTGGCCAATTAAATTTTACTTAACAAATATTATACTCCGAACTCAAACTTACACCATTTACCCCTCCAAAAACTAATATTTTTAAATATTCTTAGTATTAATATATATTTTTAAAAATTTAAACTGAACCCACTGTATTTAATAATCCTTTAAGTGAAATTATAGTTTTAAGGCAACACTTACCTATTCTGCACCTGAGTAGCTGCAAAATGAACGTAATTCTTCTTCTCAAGAAGCTTAGCTAGTAGATTCTCAATTGCACCTTTCTGGTTTTGAAAAGCTTCTTCCAAAAACTGGTACCTTAAAGCCAAAACAAAAACTACATTTAAACAGGAAATTATTAAGATTCTGGACACGAAGAACTGCTGCACAGGTAAATCTTGAAAGCTTACTTAAATGATCAGCATTGTATGCTGGCCACACATACATTACGTCAATAGCAACTTTTAATTACCAGTACCTCCCCATCTGACCCAACCCTGAAAAGACATTGTAAGAGTAAAAAAAATTGCTTAAAAATTGTTCAAGTGCACTTACATTAGAGTTCTGATTCAGGATGACTTTTTTTTTAACCCAAATATTAGCAAAAGTTCAATAAACAAGCTGCTTTCTCTCTGATGATAAATGTACCTTATGAAGACAGTATGTGTAGATCAGAAACCTTGATTTGTCATCATAGCTCTAAACCTAGCTCACTGAGAGGACTAACAGTAGATATGAATTTATGTCATCTCTACCAGCTATTCGGATCTCATCTGAAAAGCTTTTTTAACTTTAGAAGAATTTACAGAAAAAACAAAAATGAATTTGGCAAAGGTTCTTCTTAAAGTAGTTATCTACTTTCACTGAAAAACTAAAACCACCTACGATGACTTACCAGTATTCTTAAAATACTTTTTAAAAGATTTTGATGTCCAAAATGTAATAAAAGGTTCTTATTAACCAGTCTGGAGTAGCACTAAGGCATTAGTATTCTTTTAAAGCTCTCTAGGTACTTATATATCTAAGATTGCAAATATCTACTTTAAAGCTTATTTACAGATATTCATCAATCCATCCCATTTTTAATTTAAGGGCACATTCCAAGAAGCTATTTCTTTAGGAAAAAAATTTTTGAGAAATGTTACTTACATTGCTTTATTCAAAGGACCACCATGATAAACCATCTTACTCTTTAAAATGCCTGACATCAGGTTTTAAGCAACAACTCTCAAACCATATTGATGCTCAAAAATAATCCACAAATACCCTTCTCTAACTATACTAGTGTACACAAACTGCAATAGGGGATAGGAAATATTAAGGAAACTTTCACTCGCAGCCATGACAGAGTTAACGGGTACCTCACTAGCCCTGCCACCAAAAACAATAAAACAAGACAAAAATATATGAGGCAATTGTATTCAGTCATCGGGAAACCTTTGCCAAACTCATTTTTCAGAGAAATTCGGCAGTCCTTTGGAGAGAATCACAATCAGCCTGCCTCTCTGTCTGTAGACCATTTCATGAAACCTGGCACAGAGAGTTAGAGACCAAGCAGAGTACAAAAGTTTCTTTGAGCCGAGGAGGCAGAAATCAGGGTTGGGAACTACTAAGCACCTGGAATCCATGGAACAGGGCCCTGGAACAGAAGGAGCTGTGCCGAGAGAGGCTGAGGAGGAAGTGAATCCCTCACAAAGCCATGTGCAATGTCTGTGCTACACATGTACAGGGTAGGGTTTTGCGGCTGCTATAAAAGTTGACTATGGAAGAAAAAACACCCAGAGGTCAAGCAGTTCTGGCCGACAGAATTCCAGCTGAGCCAGTGGGGGAAGGGACTTTGTTCCCCTCCCAGGCATCTACCTAAGAAACCAGAAAGGCCACATCTTAAAGGAAAATAACTATAGGTGGAAAAACTTCTACCCCAGGCCTATCCTGTCCTAACAAAGCCTAAAACAAAACCTTCATATGATCTTTCAAGAAACAGAGCTTAGAAGTTAAGTTCAACCAAGTTACAGGCTTGGGAAATACCTTAGGCTTTCCACAGACCATCCCTAACTAAGTGTAAAAACAAGCTTACAAAAAAAATAAAAGGTAATCAATCAACCAGTAATTCAACTGCCCCCTAGAACAGTAATTAAAGAGTCTGCAGAGAGGGAGAATCCAGTTTCAATAATATATTACCCACAATATCCAAGTCTCAATAAAAATTACTAGGCATTCGAAGAAACAGGAAAGTATGACTCAAAGGAAAATACTCAAAAAAAAAAAAACTTACACAAGATAGTCCAGATATTCTATTAAGCTAATATTTTTAATGGGCTATCATACACTTTTTCAAAACTTAAATGAAAACAGGTTCTTAACAAGTGGACTGATGGGAAAGCTCAGCAGAAAAAAATGGAAACTATTAAAAAAAGGAATAAGTGGAAATTCTATAAAAGTACAATAATTGAAATAATTCACTGGATGGGCATGGCAGCAAATGGGTGATGGCTGAGGAAAGGGTTAGTGAAAATGAACGCAAATAAGAAGTTTTAAAGTCTGAAAAAGAAAGAATAGATTGAAAGAAAATGAACAAAGTCTCAGAGACCTGTGTGACAAAGTCAAACAGTTTAATATATGTGTGCTTGGAGTCCCACAAGACAGCAAGAAGCGGGGGGAAATTTTTTGAATAACGGTCAACTTCCCAAATTTGATAAAAGCCATAAACTTACAGATACAAGAAGCTCTGAGAACCATAGACACAATCTATAGAATGGAATACATACCTAAAAACATCATAATCAAATGGTGAAGACCAAAGAAAAAGAGAAAATCTTAAAAGCAGCCAGAAATATCATTAAACACAAAAAAAGGCCAGAATAAAAAGTAATGACAGTTTTAAATTTGAAGGAAAAAAAATGTCAACCCAGAATTCTATAACTAGTGCAAACATCCTCCTAAACTGAGGATATTCCAGTGAACAGAAACTGAAAGTATTCATTCCCAACAGAACTGCAAAACAAGAAATGCTGAAGAATATAGTTCAGTACAAAGTAGCATAATAAGAGATGGTAACTCATATATAGGAAGGAATAAATGGGTAAATATAAAAGACTGGGATTTTGTTTTCCCTTCTCATAAGTTCCTTCAAAGATACCTTTCTTTTTTTTAAGTATTGTATGGTAAAGTTTATAACGTATGTATGAATAACTGATATGGCATTAGTACAAAGGATAAGGGTTTGATAATCTATATTCTTTCATAAGGTTACTATATTTGTGAAGTGGTAAACAGTACAATATTTTAAGTAGACTGTAAGTTAAAGCTGCATTAGCCCTAATGCAATCATGGAAAATAATTAAGAGGTATAATTTAAAAAGCCAAAAGTGGATATAAAATGAAATACCAAAAAAAGTTTTAACTTAAAAGATATCAGGAAAGAAAACAACATCGCCCTGACAGCGTGGCTCAGTGGCTCCTACGAACCAGGAGGTCAAGGGCACATGCCCGGGTTGCAGGCTCAGTCCCAAGTGGGGGGCGTGCAGGAGGCAGCGATTAATGATTCTTTCTCATCACTGATGTTTCTATCTCTCTCTTCCTCCTCCTTCCTCTCTGAAATCAATAAAAATCTTTTTTTTAAAAAAAAAACACAACAGAACAAAGTGCAAAAGAAAAAAATACGAAAAGTAAATGGCAAACTTAAACCTAACCATATTGATCATTACATTATATGCAACAGGATTAAAACATTCCAATTAAAAGAGAAAGGGCTTCCAATTAAGAGATAGAGCAAAGGGCCCTCAACTATTTATAGAACTTAAAACTGATTTTTATGAAAAGACACACATAGAATTGATAATTCCTATATTCAGGCAACTTTATTATCTTTTTTCCTTATATATAAATTAATTAATATCTTCTAGTGAATGAAATGTCTAAATCTGTGTCAAATACAGATGTTCAACTTACGATGGGGTTATGATCTGATAAGCCCATTGTAAGCTGAAAATATCTTGTCAAAAATGCATTTAACACACCTAACCTACTGAACATCATAGCTTAGCCTTGCCTGCCTTAAAAGAGCTCAGAACACTTACATTAGCCTACAACTGGCCAAGGTCACATCACTGCCACTGCTCAGCATTACAAGAGACTATCACACCACATATCAGTAGATCAAAATACTTTAAGTCAATATATTGTAAGTCGAACCATCGTAAGTCAGAGACCATCTGTCCTATTCTAGGTAGGCCCTCGGGACTCTGTGAATAAAACATGGAATCAGCCTGGCCCACATGGCTCAGTGGTTGAGCGTAGGTCTATGAACCAGGAGGTCACAGTTCGATTCCCAGTCAGGACACATGCCCAGGTTGCAGGCTTGATCCCCAGATCAAGTATTTTCAAAAGTTTGGATTTGGGTATGAAAACACAGTGGAGTCAAGGATGGTGCCAGGATATCTGACCTATACAACAGGAGGAAAAAAAAAATGCACTGGCCACAAATGGAGATGGGCAAGCCTGCCAGTGAATAAGTTTTGGAGAAGATAACCAGTTCAATTTTAAGTATATTTGATAAAGCAGACACTCAAGTAGCGTTGTTAGTCTGTAGAATAGATAAACCTGAAAGTACAGAATATTGAGAAATACATAAATGTGGACATCATCAGCATATGGATGTTATTTAAGGCCTCATGACTGTAGCTGTAAATAATGGACCAGGAAGGTAAGCAAATGAGACTGAGAAGTAATCAGTGTAGTCGAAGGAAAACTACAAAAATGTGGTCTCCTCGTAGCCAAGTAAGTAAAATGTATTAAGGGAATTATCAACCAAGTCAAATGTTGCTGATATATACAGTATTTAGATGATTACCAAGAAATGACCTCTAGCCCTAACCGGTTTGGCTCAGTGGATAGAGCGTCAGCCTGCGGACTCAAGGGTCCCAGGTTCGATTCCAGTCAAGGGCATGTACCTGGGTTGCGGGCACATCCCCAGTAGAGAGTGTGCAGGAGACAGCTGGTCGATGTTTCTCTCTCATCAATGTTTCTAACTCTCTATCCCTTTCCCTTCCTCTCTGTAAAAAATCAATAAAATATATTTTAAAAAAAGAAATGACCTCTAGATTTAGTAAAGCAATGGTATTGGTGACCTTGAAAAAAAATTTAGGTAGAATGCTGTCAAGTGTGTACATATTTAAGAGGAAATGGGACAGTAGAAATGGCTCTCTTCAAATATAAGCATACTTCTAAAAGTTTTGCTGCAGCCCTAGCTGGTTTGGCTCAGTGGGTAGAGCATCGGTTTGAAGGTTGAAAGGTCCCATGTTCGATTCTGGTCAAGG